ATATTCCCAACTCAGTCCTAACTGCTGCTACCTATGAAGGTGACCTTGAGTTCAGTAGCTTTGCAGTAGAATCTAGCGGGAGAGCTCCAGACGTCAGCTTAGTTAATGGGGCAGACCCTAAGTCCAATGGTAAGAATTCTCGTAAGAGAAGGCACAGACATAGCTTTGTGGGAAGGGAGGCAGAGGCTGGAGGATAGTCTCTAAGCCAAGGGATGCCAAGGATGGCCCGCATCCATCAGAAGCAGGGACAGCCGCAGAAAGCACAGACTCCTACAGAAGTAACCAGTGCTGTCGACCCCTTGATTGCAAACTTCTCACCTCTAGAACTGTGGAAGAATAAATGGCCGTTCTGTTAAGCCACCAAGTATGTGGTAGTTTGTCATGGCAGCCACAGGAAATCAATACAGTAGTCCTGTGAGGCTGAGAATTCTGATTCATCGGGAGTGATGAGTCACGGCGGGAGCCCTGTGAAATGGTAACCCCCCGGGTAACACTGTCCCTGCCACCTCCAGCCAACGCCAAGCGGTGAGTAGGGAAGGGAAAGCCGAGTCAACTAAACACCTGGGCTTCTCCTATGGCTGCGCAGAGTTGCCTTATTTAACGTGAACGTCGCAACACCCTCTGGGTTGTAACAAGTTGGCTTTTGAGAGGTCAGGTGACTTGAGCATGCCTCATGTTAGTGGTAGTGTCAAATCTGCTGGTTCTGGCCTAACCCTTTGCTCCTCTCTGGAATGCCCCAAGCCCTAGAAGAGTCCTGGAGGCAATCACCCGATGTTCTGTTCCAGATGAAAGGTGGGTGGTCAGCCCAACGCTGAGGTGTAGCCAGACATTTCCAGGGCCAGTCCTGAGTGAGTGAAACCTGTTGATATTTGTGTGGTTTCTATGACAAACAGACGGGAGTGTATTCTGTAGCCACAGCTACTGTTGAAGTAAGAGTGCCCTTTGGAGACATCAGTGAGAGTCCCGATGGGGAATGCACAGTTCTGTACTTCGGGGTGGAATTCTACGGAGTCCCACCCTGTCTGTCACACTTCCCAGCCCCGTGCCGAATGCGGCTCCTGATTAGAGAAGGAGCTGAGCCAGGAGGCTTCTGTTCTCACTCAGGCTCAGGCTCTCTTCCAGAAGGAAATGTCCAGCCAGCCTGAGCCGCACAAGGACCAGATTTTTTAACAAGGTCATAAAAAGGCCCAGAGATCATTGCCTGGCCTGAGGAATGGGGGCTCTATAGTTTAGAGCATCCTGCACCCACCCTAAACCTAGGTTCTGCTAAGATACAGGCATCAAGTACCCAGACACGGGATTAAAGGTCGGTGGGCCCTTTGGGGTGCAATTGGGGGTTGCTAGTCTCATCCACATTTTTGTTAAATACATACATACATACATACATACATACATACATACATACATACATGCGGCCAGGACTTTGAACACTGGTTGTCAGACTAGCATAGCTGTCTGTGTTCCCCAAACTTGAAATCCCAATGATTGACCAAGGTGCCTTGGCACCTGTTTAATGGAGAATCTTCCTGAAAGGTATTTTTTTTCAATATGGATTTCTTTTATATCTCAACCTACATACCTAGGGAGTCCCGGAACTGATCTGCCCTTGAGGGTACTAGTGCCTTTAATGGTCCATCATGAAGAGAGAGGACACACTATTTTAGAGATGGAGGGTTAGACCATCTCCATTTTGGCATTTCCCCAAACCCCTCACACCCTCACAGTGGGAGAGCTGAGGCCTATGGATCTGGAACAGGGCGAGCCTGGTCTGCCTGTGGCTCCAAACCTTGCCAAGGTTTGGAATAGTGATGACCACTCTGGGAGAAGCATCCCTCCGGGCAATGCCAGGATCCTCGGGGAGCAGCAAGGTTTGTTGTTTAGAGCTTCGTGACTCTGCCCAGGAGCAGAGGGCATAACAGAGACTCACCCGAGACCCTACTCAAGGCTTCTCTAGAACCAAGAGTGCGTGGTGCATGACTTGTTTGCCCTTTTCCTGTCTGCTTTTGTTTGAGACAGAGTCTCATGTAGCACAGGCTGGCCTTGAACTCCTGAGCCTCCACCTTCTGAGTGCTGGGATTACAAGCACACACTACCGCTCCCAGCTGTGGTGGCCTCTTACATGAGTGGAAAAAAGCCGGGTTCCCGGAAGTGAGGATGTATGCTTTCGCAGTCCCTGCCTACTGGCAGAACTGGTAACCTGGCCTTCATTGCCCGGAGCCTGAGAGAGGTGTATCTTCTGTGGAGCACATTGCTGCTGTGTCGATACTATGAGGAGAGCGGTCTGTACGGAGAGAGGATGGCGGAGGACGGACGTGTGCTGTGTTGCGTGTGCTGCCTAGTTTGGGAGCCTGTGTGGTCACGCATGTACTGTACGTGCCCGCACCTGGCCCTCCGCCCTCCGGGTGGTAGAGCTGGGGGCTGCTCTCCCTCTGAAGAGAACGCTACAGTGGAGCCAAACCACAGCCTGGGCTGTGGGGGTTTGATCTTCCCTCTGCTGCCAGAGATGAGAGAGGTCTAAGTGGCAGAGATTTACAGGGCCTGAGGGAGAAGTACCCTTCCAGCAAAAAGTACACATGAAAGCTCCCGAGTAATAGCCAAGGCTGCTGAGTGCGCCAATTATGCAACAATTAAAAGACTTGACTATCATTTCTTTCCCCCTTTCATTCTCCCAACTGCCCCTCCTCCTCCACATCTGCCTTCCCCTGCAGGCTCCCCGAGAAAATGCTCTGGGGAACAGAAGACAAAGAACATCCCCCTTTTTTAATTGGAGATCAAAAGTTGGAAGAAGGGTTTGCTCTTCCAGGGTGGGGAGGAAATGGGGTGGCGTAGACACGAAGCCTCAGACGGAGGGCTGGGGAGGGAAATGGGAGAGGAGGGCATGGTCCTACGTATCAGACTCTGCATCAGTTTTGTATAACCCGGTGACATTGTGTGATGGTTTAGAAAACTAAGACTCTCTAGCAGGCAAGCGGCTCAGCTCACCGGGAGAACTGGCGTTTCGGGCTAGCTGCCAAGGGATTAACCACTGGGCTTTTTTGTCTGCACGGTGTAAAGGTTGGAGGACTTCTCCCCATCTCTTGGTCTTGGCTTTCCCGTCTGCAAGGTGGGCATAGCCCGGGGGCCTTGTGTGTTGAAGCCAAGATAGATGAAAGAGACGGCGAGAGCTTAGCGGCAGCTCTGCTCTATAATTCAGCCAACAGCAGCTGAGCCAAACGCCCGGCGTGGCAACACAGTGGCTAATTGAGAAAGTTCGGCTGCGTGCCCCGAAAGTGAAGAAACAGCTGCTTGTTGGCTTTTTTGAGGTGCCAACCCACACCCGGTATCTATGCCCCCATCCTCACCTGATTTCCCAGCAGAGCTACACAGCCCCACGTTCCAGGATGGCTGGTGGTATACTCCCTCCTGCCGTGCAGCTCCCAGCACCAGAACCCTGGAGCTGCACTTCTCCAGCCAAGTGTCCAGAGCCTAGCACGCGGTGGGTTCACCAGTTCGCATCCGACATAGCATAACAAGGCCCTCTCCTAAGCGCTTCTGGCTTCTCCTTAACACCCTGGTCTGCTCTGTGTACAGGTGGGTGGGGAGGTGACCCTGGGAGGACCCACCATCTGGGACGGACGATGCAGCCCTCTTGGAAATGAACTTTCTCTTAGGAAGAGTTAGAGGAGTAGACTAGCCGTTCTCACTGTCTGGGCATATGAAGGAGGAGAGCATTGTCTCAGCTTGCCCCGTAGTAAGAAAGAACAGCGTGAATGCTCCGAGTCCAGCCCGGGCGGGACATGCTGCCCCACACTACACGCCCCGGTATACCATTGGCAACAGTCTGGATGCCAGGAGAGCTGAGCCCAGCTCTGCCATTTGGCCTGCTATACACCGAGCACAAGAGAGCGGCAGCCATGTCCCCAGGAGCCGTCCCCACGGGAAATAAGATGTGACTAGGTATGAGCCTCTCGTCTGTCCCCCACACAACCATGGCGTCTGCAGCCAAGGCCTCTTGGGGTAGACGGTACACAGTGGTTTCCCCAACATGTTCCTTCCCAGTCACGGCGCATTGTCCAGAATGTTCTCATGTTCTCCTCTGCTGCTTTCGATTCCTGAGACCTCTTCATCTCAGGAGCAGTGGGGGGGGGTGGGCTGAAATTGCTTACAACTATAGTAGGCGCTTCGAGAGGAACTGTAATCAGCTCCTCATGTCATTAGCCTTTCCCCAGCCTCGGTGGCTCACACTTGGGGTGACCTGGGGCTCTTCTCTCCCAGAACCCCCCAACTCCATGCCCTGCACCAGGTGGCTGTGGCAGCCAGTTCCCTCAGGGGAGCCGAAGACCCCGGCTGGCATGACCGATCGATCGATCCCTCTTGCAGAGCCTAGATGGTTGTTTGCTCAGCCCACTCTGCAGGGGCTGGCAGGCCTCCAGAGGAAGTTGATGGGAGGGCTTGGGTGCATTCTGACCTTAACTGAATTCCTGGATGATGATGTGTGAATAATACGGCTTTTTAAGAGTCAACAGCTTGGGCGCTTTTTATAGGCGGGCTGAGGTGCTGAACGGGCCATCTCCCCATTAATCACTTAGCTAGTTAGATCAGCTGGCAAACAGTCCTGACATTATTCTGTGGGATTCCTCTCCCTCCTTTCAGCAGCTACCCTTAAGCAGACATCAAAACCGCCATCAAGTCAGTCCCAGCCCTACCCCCAAGCCTCCCAGTCTCCAAGATTCACATCCTAGTTTCCTCTGACTTCTGCTAGGCCTTTCATGTCTCGACACTATCCGATATCTCTGCTGGCAGGGGCCCTGCATCCCCGTTTCCTGGGCCACCCCGGCAGAGCACCCGGTACCCACCTAAAGGGAGAAGGGATTTGTGCTGAGTGACCTCTCGAGAACAGTCCCAGGAGGGACACATGGCTGACAAGCCTGGGGCCAGATCGTCCCCAGCCCACACCCCCCACCGCAGTCACAGGTGTCATCACCAAGCAGGCTACGACTCTGTCGGGAACTCCCACTCACAGTGTCTCCAGATTATGCAGCCCCTCGAAGCTGTGGGTCCCCACATGCTGGATGCGGTTGTTATGCAGATGCCTGTGTGGGAAGAAGAAACACATCAGAAATGGAGACACAACCTCAGGACCAGCCGGGGGCAGATGAGCATACCCAGCAGCAGGAGCAAAGCACAAGCAGAATGAGCTCGGTGGTCTAACCCCTTCTCTCCAGGGACAGGCAAATCAGCCAAGATCTGTCTGCGAAGCCACAATTGCCCAGGCAGGCTTGACCGTGGGTGAAGCCACAATTGCCCAGGCAGGCTTGACCGTGGGTCAGATACCTTTTTGCCTCCCTAGGAAAGGAACTGGGAAGAGGAAAGCCCAGGCCAAGACTACAGCAAGCTCCGACTAAGCACTGATGTCATAGGAGCTCACATCTGAGGCTTCTTCTCTGGCCCTACTCCGGTAGGACCCAGCCAGCCTGACTCAGTGGCCAGACGTTCATAGAGGAGCCAGCAGCAAACCGCCGTAGACAACATATAATTAAAGGCCTAGCTTTGTTACAACTGGAGAGAGCTGTGGTCATTCTGAGTAAACCGGGAAGCCCGTGAGGCTGAGGCAGCAAGGAAGGCCGGGCAGAGGCAGTGATCCCCAGCCAGGCCTTGACAGGCCATCTGCGTGAGCAGAGGGAAGGGATTCCAGGCATAGATTGGAGGCGGGGAGTTGCATGGGCTCTCTGTCTGTGCAGGCTTTTGGCAAGAACAGTTGTGAGTAAAAAAAAAAAAAAAAAAAAAAAAGAGGGTTTGGGAGAGATTCCCAAGGTAAACAGCTCACTGAAAGTAAGATGGAATTGTTCAGAAATAATCAAACCAAAATCCACAACACCTGAACCCTCATAAGGCGCAAAGAGTCTAGAAAGGCTCACAGTCTGGCATGGATACAGGAAGATCTGTGGCCAAACAGACAGTTGGGAAGTCCGTATCAGGGCTTTCTCTAGAGAATAGACAGGTGAGAAAACAAAATTGGAGACTGCTCCCTAAAAAATAAAAAATAATAAAAAACAAAAACAAAAACAAACAAACAAAAAAACCCTAGCTTGTGAGAACTAGCTAGGCAAATAGTCTTTTCTTCCCTATTCTGTCTTCCAAAGGGAATGGATGAAAGAAAGAAAAACCAAAGCTTGAGGCTACTCATTGAGTAGGGAGCCGGGTGCTAGCCTGGGGCACTCCGGTAGAGGGAGTGAACGCCACCCTTAACACCCAGCGGGGAGGAAGCAGCTCTAGGTGGTCTATCCAAGACTGGCCACCACCTCAGAGCATGGTGCAGCTCTCGTCCACCCTACCAGGGTACAGAAAATGGGACATTTCAGATGGGACAACCAAGGGGGCCTAGAGATGATGTGCTGGACCAGAGCTTTGCGAGAGTTGCCAGAGGAAAGAGACCACAGGGCGGCAAAGGGAGGAGATGATTGTAAGGGACAGCAAAGTTCCAAGCCCTAAAGAAAATACATTAATGCCAAGTGTGCTGGTGGAAACCTGGAACCCCAGCACTTTGGAAGTAAAGGCAGGAAGATCGGGAGTACAAAGTTATTCTTGGCTACACACAGTGAGTTGTGGGCTACCCTGGGCTACATGGTTCCCTGACTCAAACAAAAAAAAATCTACAGTCAATGAATGAGGAGCAGAAGGAAACGGATCACGGTTGCCTTCTGCTGCCAAACAACCTAAATGACGTTTCAAAGTCAAAAAAAAAAAAAAAAAAAAAATTAAATGGAAGGAAAAATGATATTGTAGGTTAAGGTAGTAACGCTAAGGCCCAAACTGCACTATTAATATACATGATATATAATATATGTCGCATATATTATATAATATATAGAGCCGATCAATTTGAAACAAGGAACAGAGTATGTAGTGGTGAAAGTTGACTCCTATCAGAGAGAAAACTGGCCACAAGGCTGGAGAGAGGACTCAACAGTGAAGGATGCTTGCTGTTCTTACAGAGGACTTGGATTCAGTCTCCATCACCCATACTGGGTCCCTCAAAACCACAGGCAACTCCAGCCTCAGGGGACCTGATGCCCTCTTCTGGCCTCTGTGGGCACTGCAGGCACGTGGGGCGCAGACACACATTTGGGCACACACACATAAAAATAAGATGATAAAGAAAGCTGGACATAGTCAGGGTGGGCATGGCAGAGCGAAGCAAAGGTTAAAATAGTTAAAAAGCCGGGGCACATCAGTCACTGAGGTCTCTGAAGGAAAGGATCCCCAACAGGAGGCTGAAGACACAATAATACAAAAAATTCTCCAGAAGAAAGAACAGAATTCGCCCTCAAAGGCATCCATTGTTCCAGGAAAATTAGATGCAGAACTTTCTACACTGTGGCATATTTGAGTTATGCTGTTAAAGTTCAAGAATTTACAAACATCTTTAGGCAGAAAAGGGAAATCACTTACGAGGGGTAAAAAGCAGGCTGGCTGGCAAAGTTGTTGCCGAGTTGTGCGGGCGCTCAACCAAAGCCGTCCAGCTAGGTGGGGAGAGCTGAGGGTCTTGTGAGGCTCTGTCCTCCCATCCCCCAGCTGCTCCCCCCGGGTTCCAATAAGGAAGACAGATCCTCCCCCCAATTCAGGAATCTTTTGGTCTTGTAGGAAAACAACCCCTGCCTTCTGAAAATAAGACCTCTTCTCTTACCAAGGCTAGGTAATTTTTCCTATTTCCTTCACCTGTCTATCCCAGCTGTCACCAAACGCCATTCAATCAGCCTCCCAGACCCTCTCCTCCTCCCGGTTCAGCTCTGGTCTAGACCGTCTCAGCTTTCTAGAACTCTAGTCCCAGGCTTCTCCCTCTCTCCTTTGAGCTTCCCATTCAGCTCTAGAGTTCCAGCATCTCTAGTAGCCCAGCCTAGACTGGGGCTGACAAGTTATATGCTGGACATTACTAGACAGTCTACTTAGTGTTGTTTCTGGTGCCTCCAATGTGGAAAGGATACACACACACACACACACACACACGCACACGCACGCACGCACACACAGGCACACACATGCACACACGCGCGCACATACTCACACACACTCACACATGCACACACACACAGGCACACACACACGCACACAGGCACACACGCGCGCACACACACTGTGAATGCGTATTATTGCCCACGTAGCAGGGACCCCTATAAAGTCTCATCTTTCCAGTCGTCTTATCGGGATACTTATCATCCGGGTACTTGATCCCATTCCCATGTGGGGTCACAGGGACATCACCACAACTAAAACCAACCACACCGACTCCCAGAAGGATGGAGGGTATGGCCATTGGAACAGAAGGAAATACTCTACTGGGGACAGTCACACTCAGATCCTGAGTTCCCGATAAAGAACAATGGGCAAACAAATCACTACCTACACCTTCATCTGTCACGCGGAACTAAGCATCATCCATTCATGCCGGCCTAGAAAACCACAGCAGATTTCCAAGAACAAAGGAGGCAAGGCTGCCATTCAGCAGAGTCACTAACATACATGTTCCTGCAGCAATTAGTATGTAACCCAGAGCAATTACACATGACCCCCAAGCCCTTAGTAATTAGACTATGAACTTACCAATCATTCATAGCAATTAGCTAGAAGCTAATTTGCACTGTAAAAGTTCCCACTAGGAAGGCAGAGTTAACCCCAGCCCCTATCCCTGCCAGGGATGCTATCTCCCAGGTAATTACCCCGATGGGGCTTTGACATCTAATTACATGTGATGGCCTTTCCTGCTTCTTTAGGCCTGCGAAATTAGGTGGGTTTATTCTATCCCTATGCCAAAGCACATGATTGCATCTTTTGGTTGTCAAAGGTGGCGGGAATTACTTAAGAGACCCTTGATTTATATTCCAATTAACATGGGATGCTTATTATACTTGTATAGAAAATAAAAAAAACAAAAATATTTCCATTTTCTGATTGTAATGATGCTGCTTAGTCCCTAAAATGACCCTCAGAGTATCTCTGCAGGCTGACTGTCGCTTGGCTTTGAGACTACCCTGTGGACGACTCCATAGGATGACAGGGGGGATGGTCATATTCATAGTGCACAGAGAAGAAACTGAATGAGAAGGCATGACTACATGCAAAGGATAGCAAAGCTCCTGAGCCAGCTGGAGGAAACGTGCAGCTTCCCGTGCCCGCAGATGGTGGGGACCGAAATAGCACTCACAGGACCACAAGACTGGTGAGGTTCTGGAAGGCGTAGTCGGGAATGAAGCGGATGTGGTTGAGAGCCAACGTCATAGCCTGCAGTCCAGGAAGGTTGTTGAGGGCTCTGACTGGGACCTCAGCGAGTGCATTGTCATCCAACCAAAGGTGGCGGAGAGAAGACAGCCCCTCAAAGCTCCTCTCGGGGACCAGGGAGATGAGGTTTGCGTCTAGGCGCCTGGTGGAAGGAAAAGCGGATGGAGAAGGATCGGTTAGGTCAATGCAGGTTGCAGATCAAGCTTTTGGATGCACTGGGCTTGGAGAGCCAGGCCCCCAACAGCACTGTGCACTCTTAAGCACAACTTGTACATTCTACCTTTTCAGGTTCCTGTACACCAACCCACAATTCCTGGTCCTTTATGGCGTTTCTATTTATGACCCCAAATGCTCCTCTCAGATCCAACATAGAAGCCATGATAACCAGAATTTCCCCGACCCTGTCCACTGCAAGGGAATATAATGGACTTATCCCCTGCACTGGCGGAAGGGAAAACCTCAACCTTCTAGACATAGACATAACCAATGCAAAATGACTCTCCAAAGATGTAAGCCGTTCTTTGTGAGCCATCCCTAACACTACCTGTTCCTTAACCCTTGGGAGTCCCTGATAAGTTAATGACCTATGGGAACGTCCAATCATGCCACACGCAACACCCTTTCTGGTGGAAATAAGAATGGCCTCCGTAGCCTTGTATACTTGAACGCTTAGTCATCAGGAGGGGCACTACTTGAAAGGATTGAAACTGTCAGCAAGTTCCCAGTTAAACGCTTTCTCCTCCTATAACAGTTGCACTGGTCACGGAGTTGCTTCACAGCAACAGAACAGTGACCAAGACACCCTTCGATTGCCGCTTCTCAGAACAGGTAAACAAAGGATGGGTGGCTAGGTGCACAGAGATTCCAGGACACAAAACGTGTGATGTGGCCCCTAGACATCTCAGTCGCTCAGCAGAATAGAGTGCCCGGCTTAGCTTCTCCAACGTGTGCCCAAGCCAGAAGATGTTACTACTCTTGCCTCCTAGTGTGGGTCTTTCCAAAACGCTTGTTGTGTACAGCTGGTCCCAAGGGACAAAGGCGAACTGATCTGTGACAAGCTCTTGGGTGTATGCTTAGACTTTGCTGTCTTGAAGGGGGTCTTAACCCTGAGTCATGGCTTCCCCACACAGACCTCTGGTACACAAATAATGGAAACCCTAGGTCTTGTTCACAAAGCTTGAAGTCCACAGTCCTAAATCCAAAGGAGAATTGTTTGACTGAAAGAGTGGGAAGAAACGGTTTTCTTTTATACCAACAGCACAAGCCTGCTTGAGCGTGTCATCATCGGCGGGTCTGTCTCTTGCCTGCGTTACTGTAGCAATGCTGTCTCCGACACCCGGGGGGACTATGGTGGACAGGCTGACACACAGCCTTTGGTTATGAGGATAAAATGACTAGGACATACTCTGAAGGCTGCAGTTAGGAAGGACCTCCCACCACTCAAGCAGAGCCTGGCAGGAGGTCCTTGAGCATCTCTGTTTCTTGCTGCAGTATTCACAACAGCCAACACAAGGAACTCGAGCCCATCAACGGTGAATGGAGGAAGAAAGCATGGTAAATACAGACAAGGGAGGTTTCTATGACTCAGAAAGACAAAAACCGTATTAAAGTTTCCTATGGTGTGGAATCTTGATTAAATATATACTATGTATAGGCTGGGGATATAGATCAAAGGCAGGATGTTTGCATAGTATGCTTAAGACGGATAAAAAAATAAGTAAACAACGTGCGCGTATCTAAATACATATATGTAAATATGGACATGTAGACATATGCACAGCGTGATATAAAAGTAGAAGGAATATTGTGCACGCTTGGAGGAAGGGGCCTAAATTGGGAGAGGACAGAAACAAGACAGGATAATGAGGTCAGGGAGCAGTACAAACAGCGTCTGATTTTTCTCATGAAGAATGTGGTTATAACCACGCATGAATGCTTATGAGGCAGGAGAGATGGAACAGCAGTTAAGAGCACTTGTTCTTACAGGGGGCCTGGGTCAGTTCCCAGCACCCACCGGTGGCTCACACCCCTCTGTAACTCAGTTCCAGGGGATCTGGCGCCCCCTTCTGACCTCCGCAGGTACTGCATGCACACGGTGCAATGTATGGCTGTTGATACAGATATGCAGGAAAACACGCATTCACATAAAAATTAAATGAGCCCCCCCCCCAAGAAGACTGTGAGAGTACCGAGGGCAGCGGGCAGGAGGTTCGGGGGAGAGTAGTTGGAGATGGGTAAAAAATGAGCAGTGATACACATGTACGGGAACGGCATAATGCGACTCATTATTTTATCCACTAATTAAAACTAATTAATTAAGTTTTAAAATTGAATGCCCTCTATTCAAAAGGCCTGTCACCACAGACATGGCCCTTCGATGGTAGTTACTATGCCTGTGATGCCTTTGACTGGAGGGGACCCTGTAAAAATTATAGGCTCACCCCTTGCCTGCCGGAAGAGCCCAGATGGACTGGGATGGGGCCGGGATTTATCTCTGAAGATGTCACAGATATTTCTAGACACAAACAGAGGTGGGAACCACCGTGTTAGGAGAAGCTACTTGGCGCCTTGAGGAAGAGGCCACTCTAACCTGAAGCCCTCCTTAGGAAAGCCGGGTTAAGAGTCTCAGCGCAGCATCGGGATGTCCAGTCCAGGACATCAGGGAGCCAGGGCCACCAGCAGGACATGACACTGGCCACCAGCAGCACATGACACTGGCTGGAGACCTGGCAGCCAAGTCGCATCAGTCCGGTGAGGGAGCCAGAGCGTTCCAAGCAGAGCAAGCAGCATGTGGGCAGATGGAATAAAGTATCGCCCGAGACCCGAAGAATGCGGGCTTCCAGAAGAAATGTGGATAAGAGGGGGAGAGAGAGGTGCCTGGTGAGGCTTCAGGGGCCTCAAAACCAGGCCATGTGGTAGGAAATGGGAACCGGAAATGGGAAGGGTCGTTCTTTTGTTTCTGTTTAAGTTTTGTTTGTTTCCTTCTCTCCTACATTACATCCGTTTTCCCCTCCCCCCACTCCTGCCAGCCCCACCCCCGCCCCCTCCCCCCTCCCCTCTGAATCCACTCCTCCTCCTTTTTAAGCCTAGGAATAACATTGCTTTTTCTTTCTTTTTTTTTTTTTTTTTTTTTTTTTTTTGCTTTAGTATTAAGACGAGACCGGTTATTTTATATTTAATATATACTAATTTTTAAAAGAAAGAAAGGGCCGAGTGTGGTGGCACCCTAGCTCTTGAGAGGTAGAGGCAGGGGGATCAGGAGTCCAAGGTCATCCTCGACTTCCTGTGGAGTCGGAGACCAGCCGGGCCTACCTGAGATCGTACCTCCAAATCATCTTTTCCCCCCAAAAGTCCAAATAACTAAACAAGTGGGAAGGAGGGAAGGCACTCTGCAGTGAAGGTGGCTTAGGTGTCGGGACCGGCGACATCAGGCAGGGAGCTGGTGCTGTCCAGTCTGACAGGTCTGAACTTCGCCCTCTACATCTGCCTGCCTTCACCGTGCCGTGAATCCTGATTTCCACGTGCAGGCGACTCTGCAGTGACACAAGCAATAGTCACTGCCAGGTACTGGTACCTGCCAGAGCCAGGTACAAGTAGGTGACCTGTGTCCTCCTTACAGGGGTTGGGCTGCTAAGTCACTCGGCTAGTGAGCCAAAGAAATACGGTGTGAACCCTAGTTTGTTCACACTTAAACCCATGTACCTCCCATTGTGCGATGCCGGTGCTGCTGGCACATCAAGGGAGATGAGAACATGCTCACCTACTTAAGGAGGCAGGAAGTACGACAGGAAGGGGAGGGGCTTTTAATCCTGTAAGCCTAGAATGGGTGGAAGTCACTTACTAAAAATATGAAAAGTTAAAAAAAAAAACTTGCTTTGCACTTACGATTTGTTTTGTACGTTTGTGGGCACACATGTGAAGGTCAGGGGACAACTTTCAGGAGTCAGCTCGCCCCTCCCACCTCAGGAGAGGAGACTGAACTCAGTTTGTCAGACTTGGCAGCAAGTGTCTCTACCTACTGAGTCATGGTGCCAACTCTCTAGGAAGTCACTTCTTTGCGAATGGGCACGTGTGAACACACAAGCCTGCCTACACACATGCGTTGCAGGCTTCCATGTGTACACCACAGTCCTGTTCAGTTCATCTCCTGCATTTTGTGCAGCTCGCAGGCAGGAGAGCTTGGGGAGGGCCACCGCGGCCAGGCTAGTCATTTAACATCCAAAGACTTCCTGGGTCTAGTTTGTTTCAACCTCGTTTGGACAGGGCTCCTTCTCGGACCTCTCAAGGAAGGGCAGAACCTTCAGGCCTCCTTCTCCTCAGGCAGGAAGCCAGGGTACCTCCACAGCTCACGCAGCTCACCTCAGGCAGTCTCTTAGAATGCTATGGTAGAGCTGCTGTAGGCCTTGGGAGCACAGACATTTGCAGCGTAGACCCTGACACTTGGGGACAGGGCAATGCCAAATCAAGCAAATTGGCAAGCAGAGACAGACAGGACATGGACATGGAAATAATCATGCTGGCCTGTATTCCTGTTTGGGGGGCCATACCTGCTCCCATGCCAGCTTGGCTCTGTGATGGAACAGACCAGGGGCAGTACGGTTGGGAACCATGAATCCAAACACGCACTGCCAGCTGGGGATAGTGGTACCCACCAGAAATACAGATACCTAGAGACCGAGGCAGCAGGATCAAGAATCCAAGACAGCCTGGACTATATATATCATGAGTTCAAGGCAAGCTTGAGATTCAAAGTGTGACCCTGTCTCACAAGCAACAATAACAGCATATATGATATGCTATCCAATTAAATTTGAATTTCACATAAAGGAAAATTTTTAGCAAAAAAAAAAAATGTCCTGTGAAATATTTAAAACCATGCCAGTAAAATTTAAATATCAGATAAAGAAAAAGAAAGACTAACTTTATAGTATATGTGTGTCCCTGGCAAGATTTTTATTTTAGGGGTTATAGAGATGGTGTAGTGGTTGAAAGAACACCCTGCTCTTTGCAGAGGGCCTGAGTTTGGTTCCCAACACCCACGCTGGCTGTAAGCTGTAAGCTGTAAGCCCAGCTTTAAAGGCATCTGATGAATCTGTCTTCTGAAGGCACCCACACTCAACACGCACACACCCACACAAGTCA